GATCCCCTCACAGTCGGTTGGTGACTCCCAGATCCCTCACAGTTGGTTGAGTGACTCCCAGATCCCTCACAATTGGTTGATTGACTCCCGGTCCCTCACAATTGGTTGAGTGACTGCCAGATCCCCACAGATGGTTGATTGACTCCCAGGTCCTCTGACCAGTTTGATGACTCCCAGATCCCTCACAGTCGGTTGGTGACTCCCAGACTCACAGCAGGTTGAGTGACTCCCAGATCCTCACAATTGGTTGATTGACTCCCAGGTCCCTCACAATTGGTTGAGTGACTGCCAGATCCCTCACAGTTGGTTGAGTGACTCCCAGATCCCTCACAGCAGGTTGAGTGACTCCCAGATCCCTCACAATTGGTTGATTGACTCCCAGGTCCTCCAGTTGGTTGAGTGTCCCAGATCCTCACAGTTGGTTGAGTGACTGCCAGATCCTCACAGTTGGTTGGTGGCTCCCAGATCCCTCACAATTGGTTGATTGACTCCCAGGTCCCTCACAATTGGTTGAGTGACTCCCAGATCCCTCACAGCAGGTTGAGTGACTCCCAGATCCCTCACAATTGGTTGATTGACTCCCAGTCCCTCACAATTGGTTGAGTGACTTGATCCCTCACAGTTGGTTGAGTGACTCAGATCCCTCACAGCAGGTTGGTGACTCCCAGATCCCTCTGTGGTTGATTGACTCCAGGTCCTCACAATTGGTTGAGTGACTCCCAGATCCTCACAGCAGGTTAGTGACTCCCAGATCCTCACAATTGGTTGATTGACTCCCAGGTCCCTATTGGTTAGTGACTCCAGATCCTCACAGTTGGTTAGTGACTCCCAGATCCCTCACAATTGGTTGATTGACTCCAGGTCCCTCACAATTGGTTGGTGGCTGCCAGATCCTCACAGTTGGTTGAGTGACTCCCTCACAGTTGGTTGAGTGACTCCCAGATCCTCACAGCAGGTTGAGTGACTCCAGATCCCTCAATTGGTGATTCTCAGGTCCTCACAATTGGTTGATTGACTCAGGTCCCTCACAATTGGTTGAGTGACTGCAGATCCCTCACAGTTGGTTGAGTGACTCCCAGATCCCTCACAGATGGTTGATTGACTCCCAGGTCCCTCCAAGTGGTTGAGTGACTCCCAGGTCCCTCACAGCAGGTTGAGTGACTCCCAGATCCCCTCAGATGGTTGATTGACTCCCAGGTCCTCACAATTGGTTGAGGACTGCCAGATCCTCACAGTTGGTTGAGTGACTCCCAGGTCCCTCACAATTGGTTGAGTGACTGCCAGATCCCTCACAGATGGTTGATTGACCCCAGGTCCCTCACAATTGGTTGAGTGACTCCCAGATCCCTCACAGATGGTTGATTGACTCCCAGGTCCCTCACAGCAGGTTGAGTGACTGCCAGATCCCTCACAGATGGTTGATTGACTCCCAGGTCCCCACAGCAGGTTGGGTGACTCCCAGATCCTCACAGATGGTTGATTGACTCCCAGGTCCCTCACAGATGGTTGATTGACTCCCAGGTCCCTCCACAGCAGGTTGATGACTGCCAGATCCCTCACAGATGGTTGATTGACCCCAGGTCCCTCACAGCAGTGGGTGACTCCCAGATCCCCTCACAGATGGTTGATTGACTCCCCAGGTCCCTCACAGTCGGTTGAGTGACTCCCAGATCCCTCACAGCAGGTTGGAGGACTCAGATCCCTCACAGTCGGTTGAGTGACCCCAGATCCCTCCACAGCAGGTTGAGTGACTCCCAGATCCCTCACAGTCGGTTGAGTGACTCCCAGATCCCTCACAGCAGGCTGAGGACTCCCAGATCCCTCACAGTCGGTTGAGTGACCCCAGATCCCTCCAGCAGGTTGATTGACTCCCAGGTCCTCACAGCAGGTTGAGGACCAGATCCCTCAGTTGGTGTGGAGGACTCCCAGATCCCCCACAGCAGGTTGGGTGACTCCCAGGTCCCTCACAGATGGTTGATTGACTCCCAGGTCCTCACAGAGCTGAGTGACTCCCAGATCCCTCACAGCAGGTTGATTGACTCCCAGGTCCTCACAGTAGGTTGAGGACTCCCAGGTCCCTCACAATTGGTTGAGTGACTGCCAGATCCTCACAGATGGTTGAGTGACTCCCAGATCCCTCACAGCAGGTTGAGTGACTGCCAGATCCCTCACAGATAGTTGATTGACTCCCAGGTCCCCACAGCAGGTTGAGTGACTGCCAGATCCCTCACAGATGGTTGATTTGACTCCCAGTCCCTCACAATTGGTTGAGTGACTGCCAGATCCCTCACAGATGGTTGATTGACCCCAGGTCCCTCACAGCAGGTTGGGTGACTCCCAGATCCTCACAGATGGTTGATTGACCCCAGGTCCCTCACAGTCGGTTGAGTGACTCCCAGATCCCCCACAGCAGGTTGAGTGACTCCCAGATCCTCACAGCAGGTTGATTGACTCCCAGGTCCCTCACAGCAGGTTGAGTGACTCCCAGATCCCTCACAGTAGGTTGAGTGACCCCAGATCCCCACAGCAGGTTGAGTGACTCCCAGATCCTCACAGATGTTGATTGACTCCCCAGGTCCTCACAGTCGGTTGAGTGACCCCAGATCCCTCACAGCAGGTTGAGTGACTCCCAGATCCCTCACAGCAGGTTGATTGACCCCAGATCCCTCACAGATGGTTGATTGACTCCCAGATCCTCACACAGGTTGAGTGACCCCAGATCCCTCACAGATGGTTGATTGACCCCCAGGTCCTCACAGTCGGCTGGAGTGACTCCCAGATCCCTACAGCAGGTTGAGTGACTCCCAGATCCTCACAGCAGGTTGAGTGACCCTGGTCCCTACAGCAGGTTGAGTGACTCCCAGATCCTCACAGTCGGTTGAGTGACTCCCAGATCCCTCACAGCAGGTTGAGTGACCCCAGATCCTCACAGTCGGCTGGAGTGACCAGATCCCTCACAGCAGGTTGAGTGACTCCCAGATCCCTCACAGATGGTTGATTGACTCCCAGGTCCCTCACAGTCGGTTGAGTGACTCCCAGGTCCCTCACAGGTTGAGTGACTCCCAGGTCCCTCACAGTCGGTTGATGACCCCAGATCCTCACAGATGGTTGATTGACCTCCAGGTCCCTCACAGCAGGTTGAGTGACCCCCAGGTCCCTCACAGTGGCTTTCCTCACCCAGAGTGTCCACAGGAGGTCAGTCTGCCTGGCTACCTACACCAGCATGCTACACTGACTCTCTCTCTCTCTGTCTCTCTCTCTTCCTTTATTTATTCTCTCCGTTCCCTTATTTATTCTCTCTCTCTCTCTCTCTCTCTCTCTCTCTCTCTCTGATCTCATTAAAATTAGGACCCCTTTAATATTAGAACCCCATTAATATTAGACCCATTAATATTAGACCCATTAATATTAGGACCCCATTAATATTAGGACCCATTAATATTAGGACCTAATATTAGGACCCCATTAATATTAGGACCCATAAATAGACCCCATTAATATTAGGACCCCATTAATATAGGGACCCATTAATATTAGGACCCCATTAATATTAGGACCACAATATTAGGGCCCCATTAATAATAGGACCCCATTATGATTAGGACCCCATTATATTAGGACCCCATTAATATTAGCCCCATTAATATTAGGACCCCATTATGATTAGGACCCCATTAATATTAGGGACCCCATAATATTAGGGCCCCATTAATATTAGGACCCCATTAAGATTAGGACCGCATTAATATTAGACCCATTAATATTAGGACCCCATTAATATTAGGACCCCATTAAGATTAGGACGCATTAATATTAGGGACCCCATTAATATTAGGACCCCATTAATATTAGGACCCCATTAAGATTAGGACCCCATTAATATTAGGACCCCATTAATATTAGGACCCCATTAATATTATGACCCCATTAATATTAGGACCCCATTAATATTAGGACCCCATTAATATTAGGACCCCATTAAGATTAGGGCTTTATAACAGAGGGTCTAATTAAGTATCAGAGGTCAATTGGTCCCTAGCCCATTTAAATAGACCCCATTAGGACTGGGCCCCTAATATTTGGTCGTATTAGGTTGGGGTCATTAAGATCAGTGTGTGTGTGTGTGTGTGTGTGTTTTATGAAGATGTGATGGTTAATTACCTATCATGTACACTGTCTAGGGATGACTGTACTCTGACCGCTTTGTGTACATACATACATACATACATACATACATCACAAGCATACATTTATTTACTGGTAGAATACACACACACACACACACACACACACACATGATGTACAGCGTCCAGACTTAGGCTTGACAAACGACACTCTTTACAATGGGTATTTCAGGCTAAAAACTAATCCTCGAACACCGAACCTGAACCCATGCTCAGATACGAACCCAACACCGAAACCGTACTCGAACCCAGAAACGAAACCGAACCCGGATTTTATGTTAGCTGAAATTACGTTAGCTAAGTTATGGTCAGAAATAAGTTCAGTGAGAGGTAGACTAA